GCGCATAAACATGACATTGACACACTTGGCATTTTGCTCTCGTTCAGAGGCTAAATTTTGATCTGCAGTTGACTGTTGAGGCAAACCCATTCTCGTACACCGCGTCCTTGTCATGCTCTGTTGATGATCGTGTGTATAAGGCGGGCTCTGGGTACGTGAATGTGGCATAGTCTAGCCTGCGAACAGGCTTTCAAGCTGAATTGAGAGCCTGCATCGATGTCTAATGAATTTGAATATCTGCCCCGTAACGTTCGTTTTTCCAAATATGGAATGTCTATCCTTATATGGTGTTGTTTACAACTTTCGTGCAAACTAAATTTAGACCGTGCAAACTAAATTTAGACCGTACAGTTTATACTGTTTTTCGAAATATAAGATATTCAAGCAAAAGTTCGAATGTTTTAAAAACTGTTTTCTTAAAACAGAACATTTCGTGCTTTGAGATAAGACGGCCAAGACCAATTTGATCAGTTAATGTGTTTTTTATGCATAAGTGCTTCAGCAGTTGACATATATAGAGCTCAGCGGAAACATATAAATTATAGCATCTGACCAATGAGAATTTCGCGTCACGATTTGAGACGCAGATATTCAAATTCATTAGTCATCGATGCAGGCTCTCAATTCAGCTTGAGAGCCTGTTCGCAGGCTAGGCATAGTCTAGCTCCATTTAAAGATTGGCTACCTCCACAAAAATAAAATCTACAGGTATGCACGGAGCACAGCTACGGTGGATGGGTCAGTTAGGGGTTCTAATCCCAACCCACCTAGCCTGCGAACAGGCTCTCAAGCTGAATTGAGAGCCTGCATCGATGACTAATGAATCTGAATATCTGCGTCTCAAATCGTGACGCGAAATTCTCATTGGTCAGATGCTATAATTTATATGTTTCCGCTGAGCTCTATATATGTCAACTGCTGAAGCACTATGCATAAAAAACACATTAACTGATCAAATTGGTCATGGCCATCTTATCTCAAAGCACGAAATGTTCTGTTTTGAGAAAACAGTATTTAAAACATTTGAACTTTTGCTTGAATATCTTATATTTCAAAAAACAGTATAAGCTGTACGGTCTAAATTTAGTTTGCACGGTCTAAATTTAGTTTGCACGAAAGTTGTAAACAACACCATATAAGGACAGACATTCCATATTTGGAAAAACGAACGTTACGGGGCAGATATTCAAATTCATTAGTCATCGATGCAGGCTCTCAATTCAGCTTGAGAGCCTGTTCGCAGGCTAGATTTTATGGGCTTTTTTATTCAACCCTCGACAACTCTACACTTGACATGTAAAACTGTCCGGCATTAGGGCATATTGCAGCTTACTTGAATAATGAGAACAAGACACATTTATAGTATATAATTAGGTTAATGCATTACTCCCCTTTAGGATTGAAATTGTCCGGCAGGACAGGAAATCAATCCATTAAGCTGCACAGCTTCCCCATTGACGAGTGAAACCGTCTGGCATTAGACAAGTAAAAAAATAAGTAGGGCGCATTGCAGCTCAAAGGGTTAATAAAGTAGGATGCATTTGGGGCCCATTGCAGCTTAATACAGAATCTTAAAAACCGCTTAATTGCAGCTTAGAGCTACTGTTAGCTGAATTGCGAAGGCCGCAGCTCAACCTGGTCGAGTCGACGGCTTCCTAAGAGCGCCTCTGGCAGCCACCTAATGACTCATGTCTGGTCACAGAGCACAGGTACGGTGAATGGGTCAGTTAGGAGGCTAATCCTAACCCACCCTGTCAACATTCCTTGTGAGAGGAAACCGGAGTACCCGGAGAAAACCCACGACTTTCGGAGAGCGTATTTTCATATAATTGTGTCATGAGTTAACAAAACACATATTGTTCAGTTGACCCATTAGCGTGCTAGACTCTCCCCTTGAAGACTGAAATTGTCTGGTGTTAGACAGAGTAAAATAATTATAAGTAAGGTTCAGATAGCGTATGACAGATGGTTTTGTTAACAAGACATGCTAGACTCATAGCTAGACTTAACAAGACATGGTTATCATCAGCCATGATAATGTTTGTATAAACAAACCAATTTTTGGTGTAGTAGACCCCATTGCATGTTTTATGTACAGTACTAGTGTATTTAAAACATGAGCAGCAGTGTTTTATCAGATATAAAGATACGAGGCGAAGCCGAAAGTCTGGAAAAACACGCACTGCGAATGTTTTAAATTGCTTCAAATACGATCGATCTAGTAAGTTCATTGGCGAAGTAATTTTCAAAAAATACAGTACGTTGTGTAAGTCGAGAAAATCAAAGTTAAAGTTTATGTAAATCAAGGGAAATCTCTTTCGCATATAAAGATACGACACGCTTATGATTTTTTTTTGTGTTTTCCTCATGAATTATTAATGAGTTTTTGAAGGTTAGGAAAAACCCGATTTAGGACATCTACAGTACTTTGTGGTGCAAGAACAGTGATTAATCGTATAAATTTCAATAGTGCCACTCCAGCCAAGCGCTATGAAGCAAGAGAGAATGCAGGCGAGGTTGTATTAACTTATAACCCTGGAAGAATATCTGATCAGGACGTCACATGGAAACAACTGCAGACTGTCAAAATACAAAATGCTGCTTACGAGCCTCTGACAGAAAAATTTAAATACATGTTTCAGAAAATCATTGATAAATCACAAGGTACTTGGCTAAGTGGATATAATTAGGTAATACAGTACAGGTAGCTTCACTAAACATTATTGTGTGGCCAAATAAGATGTTGGTCAACATAGATGGATTTTCAGATTTTTTCTGGGGGATGCCAAAAATTCAATGGGAGAGGTGAGCAAGCTGCAACCAGGGGTCTGAGGGGGTGGGTTAGGGACAAAGCCCCAGGAAAAATGGAAAATTTTGAAATTCTTAGTTTTATTTAGTTTAAATTCCTTATTTCAATCATACAGTACAGTACTGCTGTCATTTAATCCAATGAGTGTTCAAATTTCTGGAAGGGGCTACAGTTTTTTCTGGATGTGGTGGAAAAACTTTCTGAGGGGTGCAAAATATTCTTGGGGGTTATGCACCCCCTACACCCACCCCAGAAAGTCTATGTTGGTTAACTGGCAGTTATCAGAGTGAGAAAATACATGGAAAGATCTTTTATTTTGCTTGCTCATGCACGTCGACTATCCACTAACGCCAGAAAAATGTAAGCATGCAGATAGCAAGAGTTCTGCATACCTAGGTGGTACTTGGCTGAACACAAAGACGTTCAGACCATGTATAGTACATGTATCTTCTTTTAGTCCAGTCATTCTTCAATCCTATTCAATTTTGCAGTATTGAATGAGCACATTGACAAAATGGCTTCATTATTAAAAGATGCTCACGAAATTGAAGAATTTGTCTCTTCTGCTGTTATTCATCAGGTATTAACAAAATTCATAACACATTTGACTGAATGTTCGACCCTTTTAATACCGTTCAACTCTTTTAATACCGTTGTTTGATTGTAATCTTCCCTCATTGACATGTGAGAAGAGTGCTTTCAGTCTGACTTTACCAAATTTTGCAGGTTTTTTCCAAGTACTCCCTTTCCTCCTGTAGTAACACTAAAACACTGAGAGATGGCTCTTACTGGACCTCCAGGAAGAACAGTTTAGAAATGATAGAGCTTTCCTGTGTAAATATAGTTAGCTTAGTTTGGGTTTCCTCATGTGCTGTAGTACGTAACACTGCAACACTGTGAGATGTTTCTTACTGGACCTCTAGGAAATGGCTTAGAAATGATAGAGCTTTTCTGTGTAAATAAAGTTTAGTTTAGGTTTCCTCCTGTAGTAACACTGAATCGATAAGGGGTGGTCCGTACTGAACCTCTAGGAAGAACAGTTCAGAACTAATAAAGTTTTCCTTTATAATAAGGTTAGTTTAGTTTGGGTTTCCTCGTGTACAGTAGTAACATTGGACCAATAAGGGGTGATCCTTACTACTGGACCTACATGTACAGGAAGAACAGCTTAAAACTGATAAAACTTTCCTGTATAAATACAGTTTAGTTTTGGTTTTCTCCTGTAGTAATACTGGATGAATAAGGGATGATCCTTACTGAACCTCCACGAAGAACAGTTACTGTAGAAACTGATAGTCTGATAGATTTCCTATATAAGTAAAGTTAGGTTAGTTATTTTTAGTTATATAATTAAACTTTAGTTATATTTTTAGTTATATATGTAAAGTTAGGTTAGTTAATTTAGTCTCTACTTATTCGATAATTCTTTCTCCCAGGATGATGTGTCGGTTGTAGGTCGTATCTGCTGTGACACAAATGGTAAACTGAATGCAAGCTCGTTAATCTTACGGGAATCTGGTACTAACTACGTCGGAGCATCTGTTTCACTGAATGTAGCGGACGTCAATCAATACAGCTTGTTTCCTGGAAAGGTACGAAAAGGAATAGTTTGTTTTTATATTAGGGGCGGACCATTAGAAAAGTGATGGGGTGGGAGGTGGGGAAAATAAAAACAAAAGAAAATAATTGTGCAAAGAGGGAAAGCAAAGAAAAACACAAGAAAGAAAAAATATATGTATAATAAATAAAAAAGAGAAAAAAGCTGAAAATTCCCCCACCCCTCCCCAATATAAAACTGTTTTAATTCAAACATGTTTGTATTTTTCCACTGCAAAAACAAGGAAGAGAATGCCATTCCAGAATAACGATCTTACCAAGGGTGGAAAGAGGGGGAAACATAAAAATGATGAACTGTTTTTAGGGGCTGATTACATGGAGACTGAAAATTCTATCCTGGTTGACCGGGCAAAAAATCGTCATGCAATCGGCTGGAATTTTCAGTCCGGGTTGAAAAAATAGTCCTTTAAGTGGCTTTATTTTTTTTTCAGTACTATTCTTAAATGCAGATTCAAAGAAGCGGAATAGCTTCATTTTGAGATTGGATCGTTGCAGTCTGGGCTGAGATTTCACCCCGGTTTGAGCTGAAATTTTAACTCTGCCCGGGCTGAAACATGTCATTTACTGTAATTTTCAGTTCGGTTGAAATCCAGCTCGGGGAAAACTCTCCATCTAATCGGCCCCTGAAAATAATGTTTCCAATATTGGGCAAATTGGGGGGACATTCTGTACGAGGTAATTTCACAACCTTCAAATGTTCCCACAATCTCGTTCCCAGAGTATACCTGTTCGCGGGCACTACATAACCCGCGAACAGGCATACTCTGGAAATGAGATTGATGTTCCCACAACAATGTTTTTTTTGGGTTTCTCCAAACTTATCTGTGGTCTTTGGCTTAAGGTCGTTGCTGTAAAAGGGAAAAATCCAACGGGAGGACAATTCATTGCCTCGTCGTTTTATGAGGTTTGTTCAGATTACTATTAGTTTTTTCGAGTATTACACGGTATTTTATATCTAAGTAAAGAGAAGGGAATCAAGCAGCACAACTAAAAAGAACATAATGAAGTTAGTAAAATTGCAAAATGTGGTTGCAAAATGTTGTAAAGCTTGGGAAATATAGTCTTGGAAAGTTTGAAAATTTTGTATATGTTTGTATTACGTGCGGAAATTTTTACCATTTTCGGCTCAAAAACGGTAACAATTTCCGCACGAAATACAAAATATACAAACTATGCAAACTTCGCTATATTTTCCGTATTTTACAACATTTCGTAACCAAATCTTGCAATTTTACTAATTTTAATACGTTCTTTGCGGCAATTTACTTTTTTTGCCTTGATCAAAAATTAGTCTAATATGCAAGTTGTCTATTCAGTTTCAGTCGTGGTTAAATCATTTTGTAGCAATTTTTTGTTCATTTTTTAGGGGATACTGCCACCGCCGGTTCCAGAGCCAAAAAACGTTCAGACAGGTGTGTAAAACGTTCGGACCAGCGGGTATTGACGAATAAGGGAATACAAGTTTATTTAT